ATGATAAGAAACTACATTTTTAGGGTGTGTTGTTTTGGTGAGAGCTTTTTAATGGCCAAAAGTGGCTGCGAATTACACCTACGGATTACTTTAAATTATGGCAGATAATAGAAAAAAATTCAGACATAATCTAAAAGTGTTTCGGGCACTTTTGGAAAGTATCTTAACAATATTTTCAATCTAAAAAAAATTAGCACAAAATAAAAGGGAAAAGGGATTATGCAAACAAGTTTTTATATATTTTTGCTTTTGTATCTCCACCTTTTTGGGACTGCAATAAAATCAGCAAGATAACAAAATCAAATCTCTTTGGAAAGAAAAATATAAGCGGGATTTACCTTTTATGCTTATTAAGGCTTAATTATATCAATAAAAACTCTTTTTCTGGTCAAATTTCATTTAAATCTAAATTAAATACAAAGGTAGACTGAATTTTTAAAATCAATACGTAAAGTAAGAGGTCTCGGAACCTAAGAAACCTCGACCCCTCTTAATAAGCCTTCCCCACAGATTGCTCTTAGCTATTTTTATCACAAGTGTATTCATCTCTTTTCGAGCGCTCTTCAAAACCGACTCGTGAATAAAATTATGCATGAAATGTTTGCACACAAAACCGCAAAAAAGTATTCTTCAATATGCTTAAAACGTCATCGAATCTGAATTTTTGTCGTGTAATTGTAAACCTGACTTTTTTGCTGTCCGATTTTGGTCAGTGGTTTGCGCAACGTGCTTTTTGAAGTCGGAATGCAATTTTTTTTGTTTTCGGACAGTCTGTAATAACAAACCCATATCGTAGTTCGTGGCTCGTAAAAAACACATTAAAATCGTTTGAAATTCATTTAAAAACCATATATTATTGTACTATCAACGATGTTGAACAACTCAAGGCCCAGAACTTTTAAACTTTCAATATTCCCCACCCTAATGTAACAAATTTATATTTCTTTTTCGATGACGATTTGGTTTTTATGGCCCCCGACACTTGAGTAAACATTTGCGTTTCTCGGTTCTCAGGCTTAGCCAATTAAAAATTCCCCCCTCCAAAGGGTCTCTTCTCCTCACATGATTTCAATTTCAATTAGAGTTTTTGAAGTAGATGTTTAAGATATGAGTTATGACTAGATGAAATATTTCTTCTGCCATTGTTCTCGTGACATTTTCGGGTCTGCGGCTGTCAAAAATGAAATTGAATTGTTCTCCGTCTTGTCAGACGATCGTTTGATTGCCATTTGGTACATTTTAATTAATAGTAAAGCGAAGAGAGGGTTGTTGCTGCTGATAGAACCGACCTTACCCCACTGAACTCTGCCGCAAAATAGGGCCGAAACGAATTCGATAAGGGTAAAATACTACTTAAATACTAAACTTCCTGCGAACGCGGCGGAAATAACTTAAAGCCCCCGTTAAGTGTTAGATTATTGTGCAAATATTGGTTTTAGCCGTGAGTGTTGTGTGTTTGTCATGAGTGCTGGCATATATACTCCATTCCATATATCTTTCAAATGACTCATTATTTTTTAAGCTTAAAATTTTGGGTTCACACGTGTTGCGGCTTTTATTGAATCTCCCCCATATGCAAATCATTCACGATTAAGTCATATTTGCGGCGCTGTTCGCATAGGAAGTGGGTAGACAAAACTAATTAATCAGAAACCAGCTTTTTTTGGGAAAGAAAACATACAGAAATTCAATTGGTAGAACAGCTTTAAATTTCGGTTTGGAATCGTTGAAAGTTTCTTTTGCCTTTCGACAATTTTCTTTGTGTCATTCAAGTGAAAGTTTCCATTTTTCCCACAAGAGATTTACAAACATCAGTTCGATTGTTCAGAGTGATTATCATCGGCTTTCATGGTATGTTTCCGCTTATAACATTTGTGTATAAAAAAAAACTCAAAATCTTAGAATGCCTTTTAAGATAATCAATCAAATTGACTTAGTCACACTTAACGCCCCTTGGATTCGCGAGATCTATAATTGCCTGGCACTTCCCCTTAACAATCCAAGGAAATCAATCAAAGTGCTTGGAAACCCGTTCCTTAACTCATCCCAACTGTTACAGAAATCATCTGGTTTAATGAGCCTATATCCGCCATAACGAATCTTAATTATACCCACTATTAAATAGAGACGCGTGCCTTTTTGCTTGCAAAATTAATGGTTGCTCTTTCAATCGATTAAAATTTATTACAAATTAAGCGACGCCCTGCAAACATTTTGCTTTTAATTGATTTTTATTGTGCCAAAAGTTGGTTTGCAGAGAGAAATTTATTCAAGGAATTTGTGCCATATCAATGGAATCTATAAATCCCACCCGTTGTCATCATCTTCAGTGGCTTCTTTTGTCCCCAGAGATTTCTATTTGCTAGAAAGTGATGTCATCATTTGAGTATTTGCTGTTTAGTTTCGATGCTTGGCTCAAAGAGTTTTCCCAGCCTGGGGAAAAGCTGTAAAGCATTGGAAAACGTTAATTGAAAACTGTATTCATTGCCAAAGTCGCACAATAAAATCTGTTAAAACCGCTGAAGCGGCGCCTCAAATAATCGGTTCCCTCGGCATTTGCATAAACAAAACCTAAATAAAAACTGAATGCGAGAGGCCAGGGAGAAAACCAAATTAAATTCGGTAGCCGGTGGCGCATGCGCAGAAAACCCAGAAGAACGAAACGAATTTTTGGGCTTTGAACCAAACTCAGATTTTTGGTGTACGGTGATGTCATCAAAACAACATCGCTTGTTGCGGGTGTATAGTGTATAGGTACAGCCCCTCTGGGGGGCGTGACCAAATGCCAAAAAATAATAAAGGCAATGGGCACGAGGAGCTAGGGGCTTTGAAAGTGGCTCAACGGCATTGACTAATTTTCGCAAATAACTTTTGGGGCACATCATATAGACAGCAACACGTACGATCCAAGCAAAGTAAACAAAAAAAAATCGATTTCAACAAAAGCAAAAAGCAAAGCCAAGAGCCATAAAAGCAATAGACGAAGTATGTAATATTTCTTTGCCTTTTGTATAGTTATGAGACAATTATGAGCCCAAATGTTTGGCAATAATTTTTAAACAGCAAACCAAATTGAAGCTACAACTATAAATTAGGGTTTGAAAAGGGGCTTTGAATAAAAACTCAAATTAATTGATGGTTAAGGAGTTGAGAACATAAATCTATGGTTTTCTGGATCTTGAGAATAAATACTATTAAAGAAAACAAATACATTAAGAGATTCAAAAATCTCTAGGTTTCTTAAGCTTAAAAATGAATTTAAATCCCTCAGAAAACAGCCTCTATAAATTAAAATATTAAGAATCCATTTAATTATAAATCACTGATTTTCGTAAGCTTTAGAATTACTTCTCCCTTAAAACATATTAAGTTTGCATCTATTGTTAAAAAAAATCCAAACCTGTCGCCATCTCGTTTTGCTGTTTTCTTTTTAATATTGTTTGTTATTTTCTCTCTTTGAATTTGTTATATGTTTAGCATTCCAGTCACACACAAAAGAATTTATAACATTGTGGTTTTCTACTTTTATTATATTTTTTTGGTTCATCTGTATTCTTCTGTTTGACTGGGGCTTAAAATGAATTTTAATTTCCAGCCGCTGATGAGGTAATTTTATTCACAGATATTTTGACAACAAAGCCCACCAATTTCCTAATTTGCCGCGCTATAGGTCTCATTATTTTGTGTTAAAAACAGAGATGACAGTTGAAATTAGGTTCTTATCAGACATATTCCATCTCTCACGCAAAAGTAATTAAAACTGGGAATGACTTGGGATGTTATCTTAGTACTTAACTTAATTTTGATACACTTTAAAGTATCATTTGGTTTTGGATTTGCTAAATGTTATGTGTGGCTTAGCATATAGGCTATAAAAATTAAGCATACAAAATGCTAAATGTTTATTGATTTATGCAAATTTCTACACGACTGTGAGGTTGTTGCACGGTTTGTTCATTAGCTAAACGAAAATGTGGAACACTATAAGATTAAGATCTGCCAGAGAGCACCCGAAAAAAATAAAAAACGTGTTCAAAGTGTTTGCGATGAGTGAAGTGTGGATGTTTGGTTGTTTATAAATAGAAAGAGGCGCGGAATTTGAGTATTTCTGCTTCCAGCTGCTGCGCATGTGCTCTGGTATTATATATAGTATTGTATCCCTATTGAAGTAAACAGGATGCCCGGAATTCGACCCAGACTTTGCATTCGGCCTCCCTTTTCCGGCAACTTAAGCTCTATAAATAGTTTATAGTCAAAGACAGCTGTGTGTGAGTTGGGGTTTTTTTTTTATATTTTATATTTTTGGCTTTAATTGTTTTTCCAGCCTTTAGCCTAAAGTTATGCCGCAGTTCTAGTCCCTTTGGTTTGTGTTTGCCATTCCATGCTGATAAGGGAAATCGTTATCGCGGTATGGTAACGTTTATTGTCACACTCAACGTGTGTTGTTCATTTTTTATTGTTTAGTTTTCACCTCTTTTTAATTGATTTTTGTATTTGCCCAAGCGAAGTGTTCTGTTTGCCAATTGGCGTTGGAATGCCTTCCAGTTGACCTCAGCACTGCGGCTTTTGTCGGCATTCACACATTATCTATTAGTAGGTAGCAGATTATAACTCTTTTGGATGATGTCAGTGGAATGATCGAATTGGGCACTTATGGGGCTCATAAATAACTTGATATTGCAGTGCATTCCCCTCTATAAATATCCGCCAACATATGTCCCTGGTATGCGGGATTTATCGGCAGATAAGATAAGATCTATTGGCTTTATGTCAATGCAAAGATTTGCCAGATCCCTTGCCCTTCTTACCATATTCTTTTTTCATTTCTTGTTATCAACGCATGCGATAAAAGGAATTCACCATAGGCCAGTTGTAGCATTTTCGCTGCCACTTTTCGTTTGGCTTTTTTGGTTCATCTGATAAACACACAGTTAAAAAGGGGGAGGAAGCTTTCCCCCACTCTAAATTGTTGGGGCCAGCGAATTGTTGGGCTTACAATTTCAGTGACCAAACGGCGCGGCAACCGCGAGGAACAGCCTATAGAATCGAACTAGTGCCCTCCGAAAAGAAAACGAAATCAATAACAACATTTTAACTCTTAAAAACAGCACTTTGTGCTGGAAACTAAAACACTAAAAACCCCACCTCGAAATCAGTGATCTAAGACAAAAAACCATGGAGTACAATAGTATATTGCGCTCCAACTTTTCGCGCAATGAATATCGAAGATATATATCCTTCGAACGACAGTCGTTGGGTAGGTTTTCTGTTTTGAACTTGAACTTTTCCTCTAGAAACTCTCGATCATTATACAATCCCCAAAACGAAAGTAACCTGTTCTTATCTATCATTTCGTTTTTGCTTTTGATAAGAACGCAAATATTTGACAAATGAGTCGACCACAAAAATGGGTTCGTTTTCTGCAGTTTCCGCTTTAATTCCGGACCATTTTTGGCATATTATCTTGCCCAGTATTACGTAAAACGAATCGTTGATAAAAAGCAACAAAAGCGTTAACCATTTTCCATGGGTATGAAGTAATTTCGAAAGATAAGCCCGCCAAGGCAATGAGCATTAAGGTTTTTGATACGCTTTTCTGAAGGTATAATCACTGGAATGGAAAGTTGGGAACTCCGACTTGTTTTGTTTATAGTTGATTGAGCAGAAAATTACTTAATTCAATTTTAATTATTCGAGCGGTTGTGAAATCACTTACAACTTAATTATTGTAAATAAAAACATTGGAAACTTAAAGGACAGAGTAATTTTTCAAAAAGTTACAAACAAAAAAATTAGCTTTATTTAATTAATTTGTGTAATGAGATCTTCTTTCTCCTAATATTATGATGAAATAAAGCAATAAATAAGAATTAGATATAATAATAAAAATAGCCCATTACTTTATGTATAGAAATTATAATCCAATAGCTTTCAAACTGTATGATTTAGAAAAAAGAATTTTGCAAATTTATTTGTAATGATATCCTTGATACCAAACGTCTTTTGAAACTTTAATCTAATAAAATAGTTAGCCTATCGAAAAGAAATGACAATTTGTTAGCAAGTTTGTGCAATTAAGATCTAAATGTGAAATACCTAATCGGCTTGGCTTATCTTTACGGGTCTAAAATGTTATACTCGTATTACGTGATGAGGTGTCGAATTGAACGTTTTTGTTGGTTCTTGTGTACAAGTTCAACTGGGTAATCTGCGATATTGCTCAAAACCGCTGATAGAATGTTTTAAAATTAGGAATTACGTTTGACAGAAGCGTAAACTATATATGAATTGCCTTGGAATGTTGCTCTAACTTTAGCAAGTGATTGTTTTATTTTTTATAGAAGTAATTATGTTTGCCGATAACCTGTTATCTTTGAACCAATATAGTAGGTTTGCACGTCACGGGTGTGCTTTCCCTATCTCTCCTATATATACTTTTCGTTTTTTTCCCTTACTTTCTATCTGCCCATTATTGATTTTGGACTGTTGTCAGGTGGTTTACCCATTTTCCTTCGCTAAAAACAAAAAAAATCAAAACAAATACTAAAACTAAACGTTTTGCGTTGCACTTGTATGACTTCAAACTAATCCGAGATTTATTTTGTTCCCTTCCCGTCTACCTAGCATCACAATATGAGCCGGGAGGCTACTCCGCGCTGCAAACGCCGACGCCTTCCAATCGCAACTCCGCCAACATGACCCAAAGGGACGGCATCATCAAGTTCGAGAACGAGCGGATCAAAACGCTGCAGGAGGAGCGCTTGCACATCCAGAAGAAGACATTCACAAAATGGATGAACTCCTTTCTGATCAAGGTGTGTAAAAAGATATAGGTTACAAGAAGTCGGACAATTTTCCAGTCTCTGGGTCTGCCCAAAATGCAAATCTATAGTTATTTTAATAATATAGGGAGCAATTTTGGCAAACATAGTCAAATGCATTCATTTTACATACCGATAAATCTAAATATATATTGTATACACATTTCTATATAAAAAGTAATTTTCATTTAAATCAGAAAATAAACGATTTCTTACATAAAGAACTTAAAAGCATATAGACTATTACTTTATATATTTAAAATTGCATTCCACTGACTTCACTACTTCACATAAACCCTTATTTTGACCAACTAAAAATGAAACCGATATCTGTGACACCGAAAATTATGCATTCACTTGATATTTTGATTGGAAGAAAAGGTTTTTATAGCACCCCCGTCCATTAAACGAATGCAACTCACTTTTGGGCCTATTGTCTTCTTTTTTGTAGGCCAAAATGGAGGTCGAAGACCTATTCACAGACCTGGCCGATGGCATCAAGCTGCTGAAGCTGCTGGAGATCATATCGTCGGAGAAACTGGGCAAGCCGAACAGTGGACGCATGCGCGTCCATAAAATCGAAAATGTCAACAAGAGTCTGGCATTCTTGCACACCAAGGTGAGATATAAAATGCACGTATATGTATATATTGGTGGGGAGTTGTTGAAGACAGAAGACTGAAGACAGAGGACAGAAGACTGGAGAGTGGAGAGCTCTCTACGCATTTGTAGAAAGTGCAAGTCGCGCCTGCGCAGCTGCGCGTGGCCATTGCGTGCTTTGTTTGCCGTATGAGTACGAGCTCCGCGGCTCCGGCTTTTGGATCTGTGGGGATATCTCTGGGGAAGTGAGAGGAGACATGGCAAAATATATATTTAATTACCTGGCCTGGGCCCCGACTTTTTTCTTGGCAATTTCTGAAATATTTGCATACTTTCTAATGCATTTTTTTTTTTGTAGCTCCAACTCACTTCGCTTGGCACATTTTCCACACAACGTACTTTCTTTGCACCTCTCGTGTGCATTCGAATTCGATTTTAATTGTGCAAAGCGGACAGCTTAGCGTGCGACATAGTTTCGTATCTTCTTAGTTAGTGAGGGGCCCCTGTACTAATCCAATTAGAAGCAATTAAAACGCAGCTATTTGTATTTGTCCCATTGCCCAACTAATTCATTTTGTTTCTTAAGCGCCTGCAGTGAAAGTTTTTTCGGTCTTACTTTTCACCGCATCGCATCGCACCGCACTTCATTTCGTATTTTATTTGTTTTTTGGGCTTGTCTCCCATGTGTGTGTGACATGGGTATTGAGTGCATTTTAATTGGTTTTTAGGCCTCAAAAGAAGGCCGGTCAAAAGATTTACGCATGGAGGATCTCTGGCGACCCATTGAAGCGTTCAGGGTAGCACGTCTCTCGGAATTCCCAGTCACCAAATGCCGTAGCTTTGCAAGAAACCATAACATTACAGAAAACTTCCCAATAAGTCCATTAAAGTGAACTGTTTCTCGGAATAGGCTAAATATATAATATAATGCTAACATTTTTTGAAGCGCTGTTCATATATTTCCATAAAGAATATTGTCTTATTCTTTATTAATAATTTCAGTTTTGAAATATCAAGCTAATTTAAATGCTTTCTTTCCTAAATCTCAAATTAATAAGAAACACATAAATTATTAATAAAATACGAAAAATACATTTTTAGACAGTTAGTTTATTTATATTTTTCAGTCGTAGTTGAATAACTATTTCTAAAATCTAAAATATATTCAAGAGACGCCCCGGTTTTTTGGCTTAATTTTCTAAGTCATTAAACTATAAAAAGTCTCTCATAATCATAGGGCTTATCTCTAAGAGTAATAATATTTTCCTTGGGTTTTAAATCATTAAATAGAATATAAGACTTAAGTTTGTTGAATTCGAAATTTCATCTTAAACAAACTATTTTCCATAAATAGGCAGTTTGGTTAAACTATGTAAAACAATAGGCTGATCATAAATTTCTGAAAAGTCTTTTATAATTATAGGATTTACCTCAAAGAAACGCCCACATTTTCTTAAATATATCCTCTTTTTACAAATTTAATGAATTTGTAATTCAATCGTGAACAAAATATTTTCCAGTAAATGGTAATTTTTACCTTTGGCCATAAATCAGCAGCCAAGCGCTCTGTATCAGATCTGTATCAGCTAGTAACTTATGCTTTCTTCGCTGAGATTATTAGGGGAGTTACCTGACCCACAATAAATGCAAATGAAGCCGCTTTAAGGTCAAGCACCTCCACCTGATAATGCGTGACTTTCTGGACAGGCACAGACCTACTTTGGATATCTATAGGTATAGGTATAGGTATCTGTTTCTGTGGGTTGTGGAACTCTTGGTAACCCAATATGTAGCTTACCCACTCCACAATCCACACTCCACACTCCACTGACAACAAATGGAAAATGAAAGAAATGAAGAAGAGATAGTGTGGAGAATGGAAATAATTTATACACTGTTAAAAAATGGCATAGTAGACACTTATATCTGGCTATGGAACTTAAAATTTAACATTTCATATTTTCAATAATTATAAAATCAAATTATAAAATACCATACATATTACCTTCCTTTTAAAATTAAAATAATTGAATTGATTTTTAATGTGTGCTATTTGTTTGTTTTATTTTCATTGTATATAAGTTAGATATGGCTTACATTTTTTGATATTGCAATTTTTTCCGAAAATAGTCAAAATAAAGATTTTCTTTGTATTAGTTTTATTTTTAGGAAATTAAAAATAAAAAAAAATTGTCATGAATGAAATCAAAGCGAAAAATACCTAAATCTAATACACTTGGATTTACTACGATATTTTTTTAACAGTGTATGATGGCTTCTTTTTCAGGTCCGTCTGGAGTCCATTGGTGCTGAGGACATTGTCGATGGCAACCCTCGTCTCATCCTGGGTCTCATCTGGACCATCATTCTGCGGTTTCAGATTCAGGAAATTGAAATCGATGTGGTAAGGTGTCCACTTTGCAATTTGTATAATAAAAGTACTTAATTTAAAATAAAAAACTACTTTTATCTTTTAGGATGAAGAGAACGAGTCAAGCGAGAAGCGTTCCGCCAAAGATGCGCTGCTTTTGTGGTGCCAGCGCAAGACGCATGGCTATCCGGGCGTCAATATCACGGACTTCACCAACTCCTGGCGCTCCGGATTGGGCTTCAATGCACTCATCCACTCGCATCGCCCCGATCTGTTCGAGTACAGCACCATTGTCAATTCGAAGAACTCCAACCTGGACAATCTTAATCACGCCTTCGACACGGCCGCCAACGAATTGGGCATTCCCAGGTGAGGATTTGTAGGGTCTATAAGCTAAATTCTAGGTTTTGTGTTTCGGAGAAAAACACTCTGTATTCGCATCACACAATAAAAAGTTTCACCCTTGTCATTTTTTAAAACAATTGATCTAAAGTAATTAAGAAAAATTGACAACTAAATTAAATCTTTAAATCTGTATAAATTCTTAAGAGGTTTTCTGGCTTTTAGAATTATTAATTATTAATAGCAATGATTGTCTTAATGTTCAAATGGTATAGTTAATTTAATTGTTACATCGACTGAACAAATATCTATGAAATGAATTTAATTAACTGACTTTTGACTTTTAATTTCTAATTCCCCTTTGCAAGCCTGCTCGATGCGGAGGACATTGACTCTGCCCGACCGGATGAGAAGTCGATCTTGACCTATGTGGCCTCCTACTATCACACCTTTGCACGCATGAAGAACGAGCAGAAGAGCGGCAAGCGCATAGCGAATGTGAGTTAGACCTCTACTTTTTTTCAGATTCAGGTTCATATTCAGATGCGGATGCCATTGGCAGAGTCCCATGGAAAATCGCCTCTGGAAATCGCTGCAGCGTAACAGTGTGTCCCACAGTTAACGCTCTACTTCACAATGGATTGGCCCCCGATCGGATTCGTATTCGGATTCAGATTCGGATTCGTTTTCGTATTCGGGTGCGGTCCAGATCTACACCTAGAAAGTTGCTCAACCAGCGCTCTCTTTTCTTTTTGTGTCGATCCCCTCCAGATTGTCGGCCAGCTGATGGATGCCGATCGCAAGAAGATGCAGTACGAGGGTCTGACCACAAACCTGCTGAGCTGGATCCGCCAGAAGACGCTGGAGCTGGAGCAGCGCGACCTGCCCAACTCGCTGGAGGGCATCCAGCGGGAACTGCTGGCCTTCAAGGAGTACCGCACCATTGAGAAGCCACCCAAGTGAGTAGCCGGTTAAAGTCAAATCAAACAAAAACAGCTCCAAAAACAAATGTTAAAAACATTTTTTTTAATATTAAATATATATGTACTGCGAATTTTTCAGCCTGACATTCTTCAGCTGAAGGCAGTCTAATATATGTAAATTCTGGTGTTACTTTATTAGCTTCTTTTAAAAAGTTTATAATTCTTTGGACTTAAACCTATTTATTAACGCGAATTCTTTAGCTAAATACCGTCCAATGTATTCCTATAATGTAATGTTATTATTAATGATACCTTTCCTTTTTTTTTATAGATACAAGGAGCGCAGTGAGATCGAGGCTTTGTACTTCACCATCAACACTCTGCTGAAGGCCTTGAATCAGCCGCCGTATAATCCCCAGGATGGGCAGTTGGTCAATGACATCGAGAAGGCCTGGCAGATCCTGGAGTATGCCGAACATCATCGCGAGGTGGCCCTGCGGGAGGAACTGCTCCGCCAGGAGAAACTGGAGCAGCTGAACTACAAGTTCGAGAAGAAGTCTGTCCTGCGAGAGGGTTATCTCAAGGAGATGATCCAAGTGCTGTCCGATCCGCGTTACTTGCGCCAAGTGGATGCCACGTTGAAGAAACACGAGGCCATTTCCGCAGACATTCTGGCTCGCGTAGAGCGTTTCAATGACCTGACAGCCATGGCCGAGGAGTTGGACCGGGAGAACTATCACGGCAAGGAGCGAGTGCGTCGCCGGGAGCAGGAGGTGATGGCCAAGTGGCGCCAGTTGCTGGAGCTGCTGGAGAACCAACGACTGAACCTCTCTCAGATGAGCAACCTGATGAATCTGCTACGTGAAATCGCCAGCACCACGGAGGCGGTGAGGGAATTGCAGCAACAGTTCGCCTCCGAGGACGTGGGTCCACATCTGCTGGGCGTGGAGGAACTGCTGCAGGCTCATTCGCTGCAGGAGCTGCAGGTGAATACCTATGGCGAGACCCTCAAGCGGTTCAATCGCCAGGCCCTGCCCTACAAGAGTTCGGAGCACAAGGATGCGGCCTTGCTGGCCCAACGTCTGGCCGATTTGGAGGAGGCCTACTCCGAACTGCTGCGTCGTTCGGCGGCGCGAAGAGCTCGCCTGGAGGAGGCCCGGAATTTCCATCACTTCATGGAGGACTACGACAACGAGGAATCCTGGTTGGTGGACAAGCAGCGCATCTGCAAAACGGGCATCACTGCCAAGGATTTGCGGGCTGTGCTCTCGCTACAGCAAAAACACAAAGCTCTGGAGGATGAGATCAAGTCGAGGAAGCCCAAATCCGGTCAAATGTCCGATGCGGGCAAGCGGTTGATAGGCGAGGAGCATCCCCGCTCCTCGGAGATCCAAAGCAGGATTGATTCTCTAGCGGAACATTGGCAAGCTTTGGAAGCTCTAGTGGAGCTGCGACGTCGCCAGTTGGAGGATGCCGCCGAGGCCTATCAGTTCTACACGGATGCAAATGAAGCCGAGTCCTGGCTGAACGAGAAAATGGCCTTGGTCAACTCGCGGGACTATGGCAACGATGAGCCCTCGGCTCAGGCTCTGCTCCAGCGACATCGCGATCTGCAGGGTGAACTGAATGCCTATTCCGGGGACATCCTTAATCTTAACCAGCAGGCTGATAAGCTAATCAAGGCAGGAATTTGCACACTGGAGCTATCTGCTGTGGAGCCCGAACTGCCAGAGGTTGAGCAGGAGGAGTGGGTCAACGAAACGCGTCTGGTGCCCAAGGAGGTGTGGGAGGATGAGTGGGTGGAGAAGCTGGAGCACAAGAAGGTCACTGAGACCAAGCTGCTGCCCCATGTGAAATCCCTGTTTCCATTCGAGGGTCAAGGCATGAAGATGGACAAGGGCGAGGTGATGCTGCTCAAGTCCAAGACCAACGATGACTGGTGGTGTGTGCGCAAGGATAATGGAGTGGAGGGTTTTGTGCCAGCCAATTATGTGCGAGAGGTGGAACCCCGACCGGTGGCCTGCATTGTGCCCAAAGCGGAGAAGGTCAAGTCCCTGCAAAAGGTTAAGAAAACGATCTTGGTACGTCAAGTGGTGCCCGTGAAGCGGATTAAACCAGTGAGTGTGGCACCCAAACCTCTTGTGCAAAGAAGAACCTCCACGCAGAGCATCAATGAGAATGCCGACAGCGTGGAGAAGCGCCAGCAGAGGATCAATCAGACCTACGATGAGCTGCAGGAGATGGCCCAGAAACGCCATGCCCTGCTCGAGGATTCCATTCACCTGTTCGGCTTCTATCGCGAGTGCGACGACTTCGAGAAGTGGATGAAGGAGAAGGAGCGCATGATCAAGTCGGACGAGGGCGAGGGCGTGGACAATGCCAAGCGCAAGTTCGAGAAGTTCATCACCGACCTGTCGGCTGCCTCGAAGCGGGTGGAGGAGATCGATGGCGCGGTGGACACCTTCCGCCGACAGGGTCACTCGCAGCTGGACAAGATCATTGCCCGCCAGCGACAGATCCATCAGATTTGGCAGCGCCTCAACAATGCCAAGGCTCAGCGGGAAAAGAGCTTGGAGGGTGCCTCCAGTGTGGAGCTATTCAATCGAACCTGCGATGAAGCCAAGGTTTGGATGAGTGAGAAGATGCTGCAGCTGGACACGGCTGTCATTACACCCGATCTACGGACAGTTCAAGCCTTGCAGCGGAGGCACCAGAATTTGGAGCGAGAATTGGCCCCAGTGGAGGACAAAGTCAATAGGGTAACCTACCTGGGTAACTCGGTGAAGAATGCCTATCCGGCGGAGAAGGACAATGTGAATGCGCGCCAACAGGAGGTCCAGGACATGTGGCAACAGGTCCAACAGCGTGGCTCTGATCTGCGCAACCGCATCGAAAGCGAGGTGGGCCAGCAGATCTTCAACAACAGTGCCAAGGTTCTACTCGCCTGGATCGACTCCGTCAAGGATCAACTGAATGCCGATGAATCGGCTCGAGATGTGGAGACGGCCAACAATCTGCTGAAGAAACACAACGATCTGGGCGATGATATCCGCGCCCATGACACCGAATTCGTGGAGGTCATCCAGCTGGGCAAGCAGTTGTCCGACGGCAAACCCCACATGGCCGAAACGGTGGCCGTGATTGAGCGTTTGAAGGCTGAACAGGATGCCATCCACCGCGGCTGGGCCGAGAAGCAAAAGTGGCTGCTGCAGTGCGTCGAGCTGCAGATGTTCAACCGGGAGGCGGACAAGATCGATGCCACGACCAAGAGCCACGAGGCCTTCCTGGAGTACAACAACCTGGGGGTGAGTTTTTATTGAGTTTTATAAACTATAAAAGCCAGTCATTTGGAACTTTTTATAAAGATTCGAATTATTCAATCAATATCTGTCGAAAACTTCAAAAATGTTTTAAATCTAACTATGATTTTGGGAATTATAAAGAATGTTTTAGTTATGACGTCACAGCATATTGAAAAATTAATGTTGACCCCGCAGTTCGGCAGATGGCGCCACCTAAAACAAGATGGTTTTGTGGGGGCATGTTTGTTTGTAAATTATTTAGTTGAATCACGGCTATCAAAAAGTCGGGGAACTCTTTTTTATGTTGAAAACTAATGTGTTTTTTCTTTGGCAGTCTTCTCTGGATGAAGTGGAGGCCATTCTGAAGCGTCACCTGGACTTTGAGAAGAGCCTGATGGCTCAGGACAAGATCCTCAAGGGTTTCTCGGACAATGCAGACAAGCTGATTGCTAACGATCATTACGATTCTAAATAGTAAGTGTCCTTTGCTCAAAAATCAGAAACCATAATGGTTACAATTATTAGTTTTTTTTAAGACAAAATGTACTCATATTTTATATTATGGATAACAAGTAAAATAGAAAAAAAACTCGAAAATAATCATAATTTTGTAAGCGATATTATTTGATTCCTAAAAAATATATACATATATTTAAATCATGAATCTATTCAATTATTATTTTAAGACTTTTTTTGATTTATTGGCCATTAATAATAAATTTAAAACAAGGTAATATAGTAAAACGCAGAAAAACTAACTATTGGAAAATAAAAAAAAAATTGCTGCTAATAATAATTTGAAAAATATAATTTTGTGATCAGTATTATTTTATTCAACGATAGTACGATAGATATAAATAATAAAACTATAAAACAATCATTGTAAAAAATTCAAATTAAATTAAAATCAAATATTAAGCGATATTGTATTTATAAAAAGTATATTTATAATCTAACCAATTTTCTAAACTTGCAGCATCGGAGATCGTCGTGGTCAGGTTTTGGGCAAGCGCAAGGCTGTCAGGGATCGCGCCTTCGAGAGGAAACGTCTGCTGCAGGCCTCCAAGGACTTCCACAAGTTCGCCGCCGAGGCTGATGACCTGAAAGTGTGGCTGCAGGACAAGACGAGGATTGCAGGCGATGAGAACTACCGGGATCTGAGTAATCTGCCACGCAAACTCCAAAAACACCAGGCCTTCGAGCGGGAGCTGCGCGCCAATGAGGGTCAGCTGAGGAATGTGACCAAGGATGGACAGGCCCTGGTCCAGGCCGGAAATCGAGTGCCCGAGGTGGAGTCCCGGGTGGCCGATCTGAACAAGCGCTGGAAGGATCTGCTCACCCTCTCCGAGGACAAGGGCCGCAAGCTGGAGCAGGCCGCATCCCAGCGGGAGCACAATCGTGCCTTGGAGGATGCCAAAAAGAAGGTGGACGAACTGGACACGGCCCTGCGAAGTGGCGATGTGGGCAATGATCTGCGCAGTTGCAAGGATCTGATCAACAAGCAGCAAATCCTCGAATCGGAGATCACCATTTGGGATCAGAAGGTGGCGGAACTGGTGTCCACTGGCGATGACATGGCCCACGAGGGTCACTTCAATGCCAGGAATATCGAGGCGGGCACCAAGGAGCTGCAGCAGAGATTCAAGGATCTCAGGGATCCCACCCAACGCAGGAGAGCCAAGTTGGAGGAGAGCCTGAACTATCACAAATTTGTGTTCGAACTCGATTCGGAGTTCCAATGGATCAACGATCACCTGCCGGCAGCCAAGTCCAATGAGCTCGGCCAGAATCTGCATCAGGCTCAGTCGCTGCACAAGAAGCACAAGAAATTGGAGGCTGAGGTCAAGGGTCACCAGCCGGTGATCAACAAGGCCTTGCTGGCAGGACAATCGCTGATATCCCAGCAGCATCCCGAGCGCGAACAGGTGGAGAATCTTTGCCAGCAGCTGGAGCAGGCCTGGCAGGACCTGGAACGGCATTGCGCGGAGAGATCCAGGAAGCTGGACATGTCCCTGAAGGCCCAACAGTATCTGTTCGATGCCGGCGAGATCGAGTCCTGGCTGGGTGAGCGCAACAATGCCCTGCGATCCACGGAATATGGCCGTGATCGCGACTCCGCGGCCAAGTTGCTCACCAAGCACAAGACCATCGAGCTGGAGCTGGACACTTACTCGGGCATCGTGACCGAAATGGGTCACAGTTGTGCCGCCATGGTGGCCGCCAATCATCCGGACAGCAAAGTTCTGGCCGCCAAGCAGCAGTTGATTGAGAAAATGCTTAAATCCCTGCATAAGTTGGCCTCCCAACGGCAGGGTCGCCTCATGGAGAGCCTCTACAAGCACGAATACTTCCTCGAGTCCGACGAGGTGGAGCAATGGATCCGGGAGCAGGAGCAGGCCGCCTCGTCGGAGGACTACGGCCAGGACTTTGAGCATCTGCAGCTGCTGCAGAACAAGTTCGACGATCTGAAGCACCGCGTCGAGGTCGGAGCCGATCGAGTGGATCAGTGCGAGCTGCTGGCCAAGAAGCTCATCGATTCGGAGAGTCCCTATGCCAACGAGGTGGAGAAGCGACAGGAACAACTGAGGTGAGTGCGGGGGGAGAGCGTTTATCTGTCAAGAGTAAAGATTTTTCAATTTTATGTTTTTCAAATCAGAATTAGAATCAAAATACAATATACCATATCTACATCTATAATGATTTTTAAGTCTCTTTTTTTTATAAAATGTGTTTTTAAATCAGAATAAATCAACATTGAAAACATGGATATCTATAGCTTTTACGATTTTAAAGTCTCTTATTTTTATAATTAATGATATTTTAAATTAACATTATACAATACATTATTTAACTCATTTTAAAACTCCTGCAAACATTTTGTATAAAACCATTTGATATAAAATTTAAATAAGCTATTAAACTAAATTATTATTTTTTGTTGTATTTCGTTTGTAACATTCTGTAGAACTTCCTGGGAGAACCTGCTGCAACTGCTTAACCAGCGGGAGCAGAAGCTCCATGCCGCCGGCGAGATTCACCGCTTCCATCGGGACGTGGCCGAGGCACTGTTCCGCATTCAGGACAAGAATGCTGCCCTCTCCCAGGAGCTGGGCAAGGATTTGAACTCCGCCTTGGCGCTGCTCCGCAAGCACGAGGGCTTCGAGAACGATCTGGTGGCGCTGGAGGCCCAACTGCAGGTGCTGGTGGAGGATTCGGTGCGCCTGCAGGCCAAGTATCCATCGAATGCCACGGCCATTGCCCAGCAACAGGACAAGGTGGTGGCCGCCTGGAATGACCTCAAGGAACGATCGACGGCCCGTGGCGACCGCTTGGCTGCCAGCTCCGATCTGCAGACCTTCTTGACCGACGTCAGGGATATAGTTTCGTGGTCGGCCAACCTGCGTGCCGCCCTCCAGGCGGAGGAGCATGTGAGCGATGCCGCCGGAGCCACTGCCCTGAAGATCCAGCACGATGCCATCTATGGGGAGATCGAGGCCCGGGAGGACAAGTTCCGGTATCTCAACGAACTGAGTGATTCCATGGTCCAAACGGGACACTATGCTGCGGCGGATGTGGAGGAGAAGTGCGCTGCCATGTTGGATGAGCGCCAGAAACTGCATGCCGCCTGGAATAAGAAGAAAATCATGCTGGAGCAGAAGATTGATTTGTTCTGTTTCCTGCGCGATGCCAAGCAGATTGATAACCTCTCCAGTTCGCAGCAGGCGGCCTTGAGTAGCTCTGACTTTGGCCAGACTGTGGAGGATGTGCAGAATCAGATCAGGAAACACGATGAGTTCGAGCGACTTATACAAACGCAAGAGGAGAAGGTGGCTTTGCTGCAGGAACATGGCCGCAAGCTCATCGAGCAGCGTCACTACGACAGTGCCAATATCCAGACCATTCTCCAGGGAGTCCTGGGCCGTCGCCAAAAGGTCAAGGATCTGTGTGCCGTGCGTCGCTACAAACTGGAAGATGCCTTACTGTATGCCAAATTCGTTAGAGATTGCGCTGAAGCGGAGTCCTGGATCAATGAGAAGCAAAAGAAGCTGGAGGCCGATGCGGCCAGCTATGCCGAGGTCACAAATCTCGACGAGAAGATCAAGAAGCTGCAGAAGCATCAGGCCTTCCAGGCCGAAGTGGCTGCCAATCAGGGCAGGATCCAGGAGATCCAGGACACGGGAGTGATTCTGCTAAGCAAACAGCACGAATCCTCGCCGGAAATCAAGCTGGCCATTGAGCGAGTACTGCAGGCCTGGCAGGGATTGCTGGCCGAGCTGGAGCAGCGTGGCCGAGGGTTGGAAGAGGCCCAGGATAGTCTGGAGTTCAACAGCCAGCTGGACAAGATCGAGGCCTGGATCCGCGACAAGGAGATGATGGTGCAGGCCAGCGACACGGGTCGCGATCTGGAGCACTGCAATGCCCTGATGCGGAAACTGGACGACGTGGACTCGGACATGCGAGTGGACGACCAGCGGGTGAAGCACATCAATCAGCTGGCCGACAAGCTCATCAACCAGGCCCAAGTGCCGGCGGATACCCAGAGTGTGGACAAGAGGCGCAAGGACTTCAACTACAATTGGCGACAGCTCCAGGGAGCCCTCAATGCCTATAGAGCGTTGCTGGGAGGCGCCAATGAGATCCATGTCTTCAATCGCGATGTGGACGACACGGCGGAGAGAATTGCCGAGAAATCGCTGGCCATGAGCTCCACCGACACGGGCAGAGATCTGGCTGCCGTGGAGGCACTTATCCGCCGGGAGGAGGCCCTCGAACGAGACATGTCTGCCGTTAAGCTCAAGATCGATCAGCACGAGACTGCTGCTGACTTCCTGATCAAGAAGTATCCCGAACGTGGGGCCCAGCACATTGAGAGGAAGCTAGAGGAACTGCACAAATCCTGGGGCAATCTGCAGGCCTTGTCGGTGAAGCGACAGAGCATCCTCAACGAAGCCTATTTGGCACACAAGTTTGTGTCGGATGTCAAGGAACTGGAACTCTGGGTCAACGACATGATCAAGAAGATGAACAATACCCAGGCTCCCTCGACTATCAATGATTGTGAGACCCAATTGGAGTTGCATCAGGAACGTAAGGTCGAGATTGAAGGCAGGGAAGAGGCTTTTGCTGGTTTGAAACAACAAGGTGATCAGTTGACCAACAGACCGCAACAACAGCAGCCGGAGAATGTGAAACGATATCTGCTGGTGCTGGAGGAACTGCATCAAACCCTAAACGATGCCTGGAGCGAAAGAGCCAGGGATTTGACAGAGGCCCATCAACTGCAGCTTTTCAAGGCCCAAGTGGAGCAGGTGGAGATTTGGCTGGCCAACAAGGAGGCCTTCCTCAACAACGACGATCTGGGTGACTCCTATACGGCCGTGGAAAGACTGCTGAAGAAGCACGATGCCTTCGAGCAGCTACTCCATGCCGATCATGTGGACACGCTGCAGAAGTTTGCCAATAGCATACTGGAGGGTGAGCCCAAGGATGCGGATTTGATACGTGAAAAACTGGCCTACATACTGAGGAGGAAACAGAAACTACTGGAATTGTCAGAGGAGAGAAAACAGAGGCTCATCCAATCGCTGCAATTGCAGGAGTTCCTGCGCAGTCTGTACGAGATCGATCGCTGGCTGGTGCAGAAGCTGCAGGTGGCCCTGGATGAGAACTACCGGGAGCCGAGTAATCTGCAGAGCAAGATACAGAAGCATGCTGCCTTCGATGCCGAGCTATTGGGTAACTCACAACGCGTGCAGTCGGTCATACACGAGGGCGAACGCCTCATTCGAGGTGAGCACTTTGCCAGGGATGAGATTGCCCAGCAGGTGCAGTTGCTCGAGGGCGACTGGCTGAAGCTGAAGGGAGCCTCGCAGACCAAAAAGGACAAACTGCAGCAGGCCTACGATGCCTTGGCCTTCAGCCGGAGTGTGGATGAGTTCAACAACTGGATGGATGAGGTGGAACTGCAGTTGAGTAGCGAGGATTACGGCAAGGATCTGGCTGCCGTGAGTAATCTCCTGAAAAAACACGAACGTCTGGAGGCGGATGTGGCCCACCATGGCGAGCTGGCTGAGCAACTCAAGCTGAAGGATGAGCAGTTCTTCCAAGCGGATCACTTCCTGCGCCACGAAATCCACGAGAGAGCCACTGTCAGCATACGCAGATACAACACGCTGCACGAACCCTTGGGCATACGCCGCGAGAACCTGGAGGATTCGCTCAGCCTGCAGCAGTTCCTGCGCGATGCCGAGGATGAGCTGCAATGGCTGGCGGAGAAGCAACTGGTGGCGGGTTCCCAGGATCTGGGCACGAGTCTGCTGTCGGTGCAGGGTCTGCAAAAGAAGCATAACTCCTTGGAGGCGGAGCTGACCTCACAGGAACCCTTGATACAGGCACTCCTCCAAAGGGGTCAGCAAATGATCCGCGACAATCACTTTGCCAGCGAACAGTTGCAATACAAGTCGGAGTTACTCCAGAAACAACTGGTTCAACTAAGAGATTTGGCTGCCATTAGACGCCTTCGCCTCCTGGATGCCGTCGAGAGTCAGCTCTTCTATGTGGAGGCCAACGAGGCGGATGCCTGGATGCGCGAAAAGCGACCAGTCTTGGCCAGCAGTGACTACGGTCGCGATGAGGTCTCCGTTCAGGGTCACCAAAAGAAACTGGAGGTCCTGCAAAGGGAGCTCACTGCCTTCAAGCCATCCATCGAAAAGGTGGCCAAACTGGCCACTGGCCTGATCGAACGCAATCACTTCGATAGCTCCAAGATCGGGGAGAAGAACGGGCAGGTGGGTCAGCAGTACGAGGATCTGCTGCGTTTGTCCAAGGAGCGCGAGCTGAGATTGGGCGAGTGCAAGAAGCTGTTTGAATACCTGCGTGAGACAGAGGAACTGCATGAGTGGGTGGGCGATCAGATGACCGTCACCGCCAGCGAGGATTACGGTGAGGATGTGGAGCACGTGGAGCAGCTCATACTGGCCTTTGAGTCCTTCGTGTCCAACCTGAATGCCAACGAGGCCAGGGTGGAGGCCTGTCTGGAACGTGGTGATCGTCTCATCCAGGAGAACAATCCCTATCGCAGTTCGATTAAATCCAAACGTGATGAAACCAAGCAGCTTTGGGAGGAGCTCAAGGATCTGGTGCATGCTCGGCAGGATGCCCTGGCTGGAGCCAAACAGGTGCATGTCTACGACCGGGTGGCGGATGAAACCATTCAGCTGATCAACGAGAAGGATGCCTCTTTGATCTCCGAGGATTACGGTCAGGATTTGGAGAGCATTCAGGCCTTGGGCAGAAAACATCAGGTGTTTGAATCCGAGCTAGTGGGCATCCAGGGTCAAGTGGACTCTGTCCTGGCTGAAGCTGTTAAGCTGGGCGAAATCTATCCCGATGCCAAGGAACACATTGAGGTCAAACGTGATGAAACGGTGGAGGCTTGGACGGATTTGAAGGAGAAAACTGGAGCCAGGAAGAACAAACTCATCCAGGCGGAGCAGCTGCAATCCTACTTCGATGAGTACCGCGATCTGATTGCCTGGATCAACGAGATGCTGGCCAAGATCACGGCACCCGAATTGGCCACCAGTGTGGCGGGAGCTGAGCTTCTACTAGCCAGCACCAAGGATCATGACACTGAGATACGTGCCCGTGATGAAACCTTTGCCAAATTTGCAGCCAACGGGCAGCAGTTGATCAAGGAGAAGCATTTCCTGGCCCACGAAGTGGAGGACAAGATCAAGGTGTTGCAGGCACGTCATGAACTCCTCAAGCACACACTACGCAAACGTCGTGAGATCTACGAACTCAATCTGGACACGCAACTCTTCCTCAAGGATGCCGAGATACTAGAGCAATGGATCAGTAGTCGTGAGCCACAGCTCAAGGATGCCAAACTAGGTGACTCCATACCCCAAGTGGAGGATCTCCTCCGACGGCATGAGGACTTTGAAAAGACAGTGGCCGCCCAGGAGGAGAAGTTCCAGGCCATTAAGCGGATAACGCTGCTGGAGCAGCTCTTCCGCCATCAGCTGGAGCAGGAGAAGATCAGCAAGCTGCAGGAAAAGGAGCGTCTGGAGAAGGAGCGACTGGAGCAGCTGAAGCAGCGGGAACTGCAGCGTTTGGCGGACGAGCGAAGGAGAGCGGAGAAGCAGCACGAGCATCGCCAGAATGCTGCCTCCCAGGAGAAGACGCCCATCTTCTCTTCGCCCATGGTCACGCCGGCCCAAACCAGTGGCCCACAATCGCCGGTTCCCGCCCAACTGAGGCCACCATTCGGAGACGAAAACGAGCATTTGGCCCTGCAAAAGTCGAGCTCAAGCGGCATGTTTGGCGATCGATTGCGTCGCGGCTCGGCCGATGCCAATGTCAAGCGGGCGGAGAGCATGAAGGTGCAGCCCAAGCAGGCCAAGCGTACGCCGTCCTTTACCACGAGGAGACGGGCTCAGTCATTCCGGAAAAACCAGAAGGGCGAGGGATTCGATCTGCCGCCCGTTGAGATTCAGGGCAGTCTGGAGCGCAAGCATGGCCTGCAATCCGGCGGCAAGAAGGCACCCGTGCGATCCTGGAAGCAATTCCACACCGTGCTCTGTGGCCAGCTGGTGTGCTTCTTCAAGGACGAGAACGATTTCCTGCAACAGAAGACGGCCACTGCCCCCGTGAATATCCTGGGCGCCAAGTGCGAACGGGCCGAGGATTACACCAAGAAGAAGTACGTCTTCCGGCTCAGACTGCCCGACGGCTCGGAGTTCCTCTTCGAGGCTCCCTCGCTGGACATCTTGAATGACTGGGTGCGCAAGATATCCTTCCACGCCAGTCTGCCGCCCAACATGCAGCTCCTGAGCTACGATGAATCCATGAAGGTAAGATCGACAAAGGTTTTATAGCCTCTCAGTTTCAGCTCACAGCAAGGGCAAAGCACTTTTATTTAAGTACACTTTTTTGGGAGTTTTGAAGATGGGGTATATAATACTTATAAAAAATGAATATTAATACCTAATTTAATTTATCCTAACAGCAACAGTCGAGCAGTTCCCCGGACATCAAGGTGACCAGCAGCGTGGAGTCGCCAGTCAGCTCCCGCAACTCCTCGCCCGATTCCCAGCGTCGCACCAGTGGTGGCCAGATCCTGGATGGCACGGCCACGCCCCAAATGGCCTTCCTGCAGCGGCAGATGCAACAACAGCAGCAGCAACAGCAGCAGCAGCAGCAGTCCCAGCCCAGTTCCCCCAGTTCACCCACCGCCGGATTCGACCAGAAGCCACCAATCCCGCCCAGAGGAGCGCCTCCGGTGGCCAGCCATCGCCAGAGCCAGGAGAATCTAGTAGTGATGCGCAATCGCCAAAGTTCCACTGGTAATACTATAGTGAAAAAACCTAACCCGTTTAAAAAAAAGGGATAACCCCTTGAATCAATTGTTTATAATACATAAACTGTTAATCCCCCCTAGACCTGCAACAATCCGCCACTTTGCCCGCCGGTTTGACTGGAGTCCAGCAGAATGGGAGCAGCAAGGATGACAGCGCGGTGCTGACACGCAACAGCGAGGCCAGACAATCGGGTGAGTACTCCTAAATGGGTGGGATGACCATGCCCATTTGTGTCCCAAGCCATTTGTGTCTCTGTCCATACACCTCGACCCAGTCAATCCAACTCCACATTCAACCAATCCACTCACATTGTACAAATTGTCCTCCAAAAACGCAATGCCGTGTGTGTATTAGAAAATCCGCCGCCATTGCCAACGACGATGCCACCAGTGGGTGGCCAGCATCATCAGCATCCCCAGCATTCCTCCCATTCCCATCAGAATACGACTCCGAATCAGGCGCAAGTGCAGCAGCGGATAAATGCCTTCAATGCGGCGGCAAGTCAGCAAAATCAGCCGGACTACTATAACAACAATGCAGCGAGGCAGCAGCAGCAGCAACAACAGCAGAGGATTCCCTCTGGCAGGATCGACTCCACGAGGAAGTTCATCGAGATGGAGGCACAGAACAACAATGGAGGTGGCAGCCCCAAGAGGAGCACCATCAACTATTCCAGCAGTGGGGCCAGCAGCAATGGCAATGGTAATGTGAAGCTAGGAAGCGGGACTACTACGATCACCACCTCAACCACCTCGACCACCTCAACCACCACCCATCACCACCATCAAGTGACCTCCAGCAGTCGCACGGTGTGGCATCTAACCTCATCATCGCCCACCTCATCGACCAAATCATCATCAACTGGTGGCTCTGGGGCCGGGGAGCCCACTCATGCCATCAGTAATCCAAGCTACATGGGTCTGCATCTCAATAACAATAACGATTCAATCGGAATTGGACTCGGTGGTTAGACGAAAAACTCATTAATCCTAACAATCTGTATAAAGTACCTATTATACCTAGTCCTAAGTGCATTTTCGGTTTTTGGCTGATCTCTGAATGTATCTCTTTTGTATATATTTCTTTACTCTGAATGCATGCCTGTTTTGTGGAATAAAGGTTCCTCAACTTTCAAACCGGTGAAGCTAACCCGCCGATCCTATCTGCGCACGAGTTTGCAAAGTATTTCTTTGGGTTCTGTATATACTATACCTAATGTTAACTATCCCTTGTATAAAATTATATAACTCAAACAAACTTCAATAGTAAAGCTTTAAGAATTTAATATTTTAAAAGTTTTTGGATCCTTGCATAAAATTATAAAGCTTAAAACCATCAATACTTTTATAGAACTTCTAATTCAAGTTTATAAAAGAGCTTTGAGTATACCACATTTTCTTTCCTTATAAAAATAATATTTATATTTTACTTCGTTTAAAAACTAATATTGTAAAGATTAAATCATCACTAATAAATTAAAATGAATTTAAAATATATCAATGTAGAATAATTGTATAAATAATATGGAAACTAAAAACTAATATTGTAAAAATTTAAGTTCTTATAATCATAATTTGTTCTTGTACTTTTTTGAGTCTATCAGAAACCCTTCAGAACTTTAATTGAATCATAAATATTGTTTTGAGTTATATTTTTTAGGTGTTATCCATAAGTGATCTTTCCTTTTACAACTTTTCTTTTTCACATATATGTAATATACCAATTTTAAGATATTTATGCTAAGAATGGAATCCTATTGCCTGTCCACCTCACTCTATGTTATGCTCCACTCCAAAAACACTCCTCATATGCATGATGCCTTCTTGTATATTTTGAAGATAATCCACCACTTAAACTTACACTTTTTTTATATTATACCACCAGGCTGGGGAAATACCCGTTTTGAGAGCAACCGACCCGTGTCCCTGCAGCCCGACTCCATTAGCTTTTCGCGCGTTTCGGCGGAGAGTTCCAGCGAAAGCGAGGCCCAGTCCATATCCTCCGTGTCCGGGGTGAAGGGCAGCAGCAAGGGATCCAAGGAGGAGCGCCGTAGCGGCATGTTCCGCATCTTTGGACGCAAGGGCGACAAGGAGAAGGAGAAGGACAAGCGCCGGTCGAGTCAAGTCCCGCCACAGTGAAAACATATCGCAACTTCTGGACAATTGAAAGGAGCATTGTTTTTGTATTTTTTATATACACCTTAATTATTTAATTTGTATCCGCCCAGGGCAAACAAATAAAAAAAATAAAAACAAACCACTTAACGAAACAAGAAACGAAACGCAAAAGTTGAAAAATTAAACGTGTCTACTTAAAGCTAAAGCGATAAATGAAAGTATAAAAGAAATATTATATATATATAAAGTCAATGTTTTAATTGCATTATAAAATGTATCTGTAAGTTTGTTCGTTGTATGATTAAATTTAATTTTCGTAAAACAAAAAACCTTAAACAATAAAAACTATACATATTGTGAAAACAAAACTATTACTATTTTATTTTACAGAGTTTTTGGTGATTACATTTAGAAGTCTGGTATAAAAAAATTGATTGTTATTTTGAAAGGCCTAAAAATAAAAATATTTATTTATAAAATTGAGTTGACTTGGTAAAGTTTTACTAAAAACGTTTAACACTTGGAGAAACTGGTAGAATACTATATAATACGATACATCCTACAGTCATCTAAACTATTTTGCACCCAAAAGTAAATAATCAAAAGTAGCTGATAAAGCCGCGACAATTGTTTGTTTTCTTGACCACCGTCAATAATATACTCTTTGACCTGTCATTAAATTTGCTTTATTTTTGCGCATCAAATTTTCTTACCACGCAGTTTTAAAAATGATCGATAGATACTTAATGCAAATTGAAATCAATTCATTTTTTTATATTAAAAAATATAATATTAAATATATATAACATAAAAAAAAATGTGAATTATCAAATAAAATATTATTTTTGTAAAGTGAAAAGGATTGCAAGCAAAACTGCTATAAGCATGCAAAAAAAACATATTAAGGCATGTTACACCTCGTTCCAATAAATTGGCTTTAAAAACTATAAATAGTTTTTTAGTTTAAGCAAAAATAAAATTATATTTTCCAAAAAATACCAAACATATTTTTTTAGAACTTGATGAGGCTTCTTAGCTTAGCTCTTTAGCTGTTCAAACCAGTTTATCGCTTGGTTGTGTACCTTTTTGAAACAAATTTACACAAATCGTATTTTTGCTAAAAGGCTCCAAAGGTGAAATCGACTGGCTGAGTATTTAAATTTTTAAAAATATTTCTTTGCTGATAATATTTTTTTCAAGTCTAGAACTCAGGCGTTTGCCATTTATGAGGGTCTCTAATCTGGTCTGTGATTACGCGGGATTTTCCCCATACGCTGACCGAAGCTACGATTCATATTTTTAAATTCTTATCTCTTTCTTGTTTCTTTTGTTTGAACCTGGGCTTTTCACTGCAATTATTAACTTTTTAACCTTATGTTGTTAATTTGTTATAATCTCAACAGGTGGTGGCCTATTTATAGTCAAATCTGCTTGATGAAGACAGTAAGAAATGGTAAATTATGTTTAAATTTAAATTCTTGTTAATCTATAAAAATAAGTGTGGCAAATAAATGACCCATCTTTTAAAAGTATGTCTCAGCGGGATTGTTAGTCATCTTATCTGCTTTCCAGATACATTCCGTAATCGGTACATCCCATTTGCGTATGCAAATTTGTCTGGTGCGAAATTAAATAAGTAATTGTTGTGGGTTTCTAAACATAGCTTTGTATTCCGCTGTGGTTCCAGGGGACTCTTCAAGATTCATTCAATTAATCTACTTATTTTTTCTGGGCTTAACCCAAGTGCCCTGGTAAATAGATTATTCTAGATCTGGATGAGTCCAGTTACATTTGGCATAATAAGTAAAAAATAATAACAAAATGCTTTCTTTTTAACTTTAAGTTTAAATAGAAAGTTTATGAGCATTTTATCGTTCTAAAAAGCAGAAGGTAATCCGCCTTAAAATTACGCTTTTAAAAGTGAGTACACATTTATCTCCATGTGGTTGATCAATTGCGTATATACCCGACTTTGCTTCGGCTTCGGCTGAGCTGCTCGACTGAGAGATCGTGGCACTATATAAGCTCCTCCGCGAGCGCTACAAACCATAAGTCGCTGATATTTCAACAAAAAACATTTCCCGAGAACTGTGCCAAGATGATGCAGATCAAGTACTTGTTCGCCCTCTTCGCCGTCCTGATGCTGGTGGTCCTGGGATCCCAGCAAGCCGATGCCGACTGTCTGTCCGGAAAATATAGGGGTCCCTGTGCCGTCTGGGACAATGAGACCTGCCGTCGTGTGTGCAGGGAGGAAGGACGAGGCACTGGACACTGCAGCCCCAGCCTCAAGTGCTGGTGCGAAGGATGTTAAGTCCTCGGTAATATTCTATAAAATACCTTCAGCAACACAATATTATACGCTGCAATTATGAACGCCTAATAAAAAACCCAATGTACATTAATGCACCACTTCTTGTAATTAAAAAAAAAATAAATAGCTACCTGGATTTAAAAACTTGATTTTCTAAATATTTTGAACATTATTTCATAGCAAAATCTAAAAAAAAATAATTTAGAACCTATTAAAAAAAAAACAATTTGGAACCTATTTAGGAGTTGCCATTGTACATTTTAAAAACTTATCGCCCAGCGCAAATTGCCTCGAGTGACAAACATTCCACATTTATTACAAAATTTGCTGACGAAATAAGTTTGGAGCCTTCATATGCGTTTAAAAGTTGGCTAGGTAATGATTATTTGCCTTACTTTACAGATAAAGTTAAGTCATTTAAAACCAAGTTTAAATGAATGTCGCTTCTTGGTTATTAAAAAAAATGGAATATTCTACCGGAAACTTTAATTCCAAAAACTGTGTAAACAAATACTTAAAGATTATAGTCATTAGTACAACTTCGAGTTTGCAGTCATTATTAGATTATATAATTTTCATAAATATTGTTTACACCTAACAAATTAATTTTTATAAAACATCTAAATAGCTTCGACACATTACATTAAATTTTAAATGAGTAAAACTTAATATCAAGTAAATAAATTATAGCTGTCTCGTTAAATTAAAATCTTGAACACTTTATATAAGTTCCTCTTTGGCACCCCAATAAAGTACAATGTTGGATTATATTTTAAATCAGTCTTGAGTTTTTATTTGACATCTGTCCTTATAAAAGTCTCTCTCCTAATCCTTTTTGTAATGAGGAGCTTTCCAACTGCATTCGGTGTCCAAAGAGATGTCCAGATCCTGCAAAGAAACAGAACAAACTCCCTAGGTCGGTCCGGCAAAGTGTTTGAGTGTTTGTCGGCGGTCAAAGCTCCGTGAAAAGCGTGAAAATGTGGCAGTCATTGAGTGGAATCGATGGTGGGGAATTCGGTGACCAACTACAGTGGGTCAAACAGTTCGATTTGCTACGGTTTGGATTTCTATAGGGCCAAAGGAAGCCAGAGATCGAACTCCGGGCCAAAATGTAGGCGGATGTGTGTCTGTTTCTGGGATACACAGTTGCGCTCAAAATAATAGTAGTTTTTTAGCTTATGGAAATAGCATCGAAAATAGTTTGGAAGCAAATATGGAAAATCTTTTATATATAACATTTTCGTGAAGCTAGTACTTTAAACTAAATGGGACAAATATAAAAATACGCATTAACAAGAAAAAGGTAAAATATTAAAATATTGAAAAAAAATGTTTTTAAAATTGTTAACCTAAAAAATAAATTATATATTAAAAACTTCTTTACCAATAGAAAAGTGTACATAAGCAAGGATTTTCTTAAATTGGTATAAAATCATTTTCTATTGAAAAGTGATTTTTAAGGATTTAATAACAGTTTCAACTAAAATTGCATTTTTATTAAGTAAGTAATCATTATGAAAAACTAAAAGAAAGTTGTTCTATGACTTTGAGCACTTTACATTGTCCCACTACTATTATTTTAAGCGCAGCTGTACATATATAAATATGGTCTTCTGTCGGCAAGACATGTAAGTGTGTTAAAAATGATTGCATTAGTTTTATACACTACGTATAAGGAAGCTTATAGATCGGATCGAAACGACTGGACCCTCGTCTCTGAAGGTAGGTAGCAGTGAGATTATTACTCATAATCCCCATTTAGAGCCAGGCTCTATTTAGGTCTTTGAAAGTCATTGATTTTGGGCTGCTTTTGCTGCTTGTCCAACTCTCGTTTTGGAACTTTAAGGGCTTTTGGGGGGTGTTGGAGAATATGAGGGGCTTTGTGTTTGGGGTTTGGCACACACGATACACACATCACTGATTTTGATCACTGATCTCATGTTAACTTAAGTTCGTTCATTGTGTTGTTGGTTGGTCGTCTCTTTAAAGTCTCTTTCTCTCGCTCTTTGGATATTTCTTTTTGGTTTTGGTTTTGGGTAAATAAAGTTCACATTTTCTCTCTTTCATTTTGTATTTTTTTTTATGTGGTTTAAAATATTTAATTATTTTGAAATTTGCTTAAGTCGTAAGTTTATGTTTAAATCATAGTGTTGTGGGTGGTGGGGGTGTTTTGAGGTGAGCGGGATAGAGAAAGATTGGGACAGAGAGTTGTTGTATCGACTCTAGACGATAGCCGGTTTTCATATAGGTCTAGGATTTTGCAGCGGTTTTATCATACTTTAACTTTTTCGCTTATACCGTAAACGCATTCAATATTTTCACACACGCGAGAGGATTAGGATTACACTTTCCGATTCTGATTCTAGCGATTGCCAGCAGGAGCACGATCTCAAGCCTAGCGCCTGTTGTCCCGATAGCTTCGTTGGCCACCGCCTCCGCCACGTTCACGATACGGTCGCGAATCCCGCGAAGTTCCACTGCGATTCCCGTACTCCCGTCGACGAGCGCCCGCGGATCCATTGTTTCCGTCCCGATTGCGATAGCCACCGGGTCCACCCATGCCGCCGGCGGATCCTCCACCTCCTCCCATGCTTCCGCCTTGCGCTGCCGCCTGGGATCCAGCTGCTCCACCTGCTCCTCCATTGCTACCGCCATTGGCCGGACCGCCGTAGACGGGAAAGCCCGGCGGTGGCACTGTGGGCAGGCCGGCGTTCTTCCAGGCGGCAAACTCCTCGTAACTGGGCGCCTTATCGAAGCCCGGCGGTGGCGGCCGCTGGGGAGGCGGATAATCTGGCAGGGGCGGTGCACCCGGTCCATCGTAGTACCGCACCGGTGGCGGCAGTTGCTCGTACATGGCGGCCGCTGCTCCCGGTGGCAGGGCACCAGCCGCTCCCGCGCCACCAGCTCCCGGCATGGGCAGCTGGGCAAATGGAGGAACAAAGGGCAACGGCGGCAACTGGCCGTGCATGTTGCGCATGTAGTCCGCCACGTAAGCCTCAGCGGCTGCAGCCGACGACATGTAGCGCTCCCACGATGGCATGGCCATGTCGCCGGGTCCGCCTGGTGGTGCTCCACCTGCTCCACTGACCATCTGGCGGTAGGGAGAACCGCTGCGCTTGAAGCCACCGCCCGGCGGAAGGCCCATGCCATGATGATGACGATACGGCCGATGGTGCGTTGGTCCGTGGTAGCTCCGCTTGTGACGCATCGGACCCAGGTGGTCGTGACTGGCGCCCCGGCCTCCACCACGTCCGCCGCCGCCTCCTCCTCCTCCTCCGCCGCCATGTCCCCTGGAGGACAGACTCCTCGGCGGCTTGTAGATCACATGGATGCCCTTTTCCCGCATCACGCGGGCCGTTTCCTTGGATTTCTTGAGTATTGGTGTGAGTTCGATCTGCTCATCCTCGGGAAAGAGGCGGCAGAGTTCGCCACCGATCTTGGGCTCAATCTCCTGGCCGTCGCGACCGATCTTCACCGGCTTGCCCTCGTTCCAGGTGTTGTGCAGATGCAGGGTGGCGTTGAAGGACAGCTCCTTGCGGCAAATCCAGTCCAGCTCGATGACGCCGCCCAGCGCCTTGGGCGAAATGCTCGGCGGGAGCACCCAGGCCACCTGGGGGATGTCCCGTCGGGAGGGGGCCGACATCCGGGCAAAACCTGCAAATTTACCTGCAAGCAGAACAATATTAAAATGACGGTTGTATTGGAATTGAATAAAGCTAACTAAATTAAATATAAGAATATCATTAAAAGCAATACTTTAGCATTAAGTAAGCAGTTTAGTTTTGAAAATATGGTAGTTTCTGCTGGCTTATTAAAACAAATACAAAAATTAAGTTAAAAGCTAAGGAGAAAAAGCTTATTTTTTGTATTACAAGGAAGCAGGTTAATAAATAATGGTTTATATAAAGATTGAAAAAAAATTAGAATCATATTTTCCCTTAACAGTAAATTTACTTTGTATCAGTATAGTTAAACCATTTATAAAAATAGCTTAGGGTAAAGCATTATCCACAAGTTACAGGAAATGTGTTAACTTTGCTTAACAAATTAAGCTGCTGTTGTGCTTTTCTATATCATTATAACCCGCTTTAAAATAGTTTTAATAACTACACTTTAAAGAAAAGAAGCTAAGAAGTTTAAAAAGTTTTAAAGTAGATAGAGAATATTTAATTTCAGCATTTATGTAAAGATTTAAGGGAAAAATAAAAAAATTGTATGTTAATTATAATAAATTATACGACTTTCCTCAACAAAGTGGGCTAGTATCACCCTATATCTTTATAATTTAAGCCATTATATAAAGGGAAACATTTGGAAACGTTGGTCACTTGTTACAAAGTAAGCTTATCTCCCTACACCATTACAACTTGTAACCTACCACTCTCATTAACTGAGAAGATAAGCAGCACATTTCTGGCCTCTTTGAAGGCCTGGTTAAGATTGGCGTCGTTTTGCGGCAGAGTGGCCCACACGCTCTTGCTTTTGGACAGCTGGACGTTGTCGCTGTTGTTGGACTTGATGAGAAAGAATCGCGTGTCGCGGAACAGATAGTTCAGCTTGGTCATGTAGTCGTAGCCCTTCTGCGAGTGTGACTGACCAACAGAATCCTTCTCCGGCGTGGAGCTCTTAGAACTGGGCTTCCCGCGACCATTGCCACCGCCGCCTCCATTTCCTCCGTTTCTTTTATGCTGTGTGCCCGAATCCGAGTCGGAGGACTCGCTATCTGACTCCAGGGCGGGAAGAGCTGGTTTCTCATCCTCGGCCTCGCTAAGATCACTCTTGTGGCCGCCGGAATCGTTGGCATTGGAGTTGGTTTTCTTGCTCGCCCGCGACTTCTTTGCCGGCGGTTGGCGTTCCTCGGCTGGCGGGGATTTGGCCTTCACCTTATCGGAGGAGGACTCGGAGGAGGCAGAAGCCTTCTTGGATTCACTGCCAGTGCGCTTCTTTTTCTTGCCACCATTCAGCTCCTCGGGAGTGGGCTCCCGTTTGCCTTTGCTTTTGGATGACGCCTTGGAAGACGGTTTGGCCACCACCGCGGGTTGAGGACTCTCCTTCGACTGCTTCTTGGTCGTCTTCCGCTTGCTACTGCCCACCAACGAGGAAGTGGCGGTGCTGACCGAACTGATGCTCGGTTCCGAGTCCGAGGAATCCCCTGCATTGGACTCGGAAGCCTCACTCCTTGTGTTGAACTCAAAGTCCTGGAGCTCCTCGGCGATGTCCGCTTCGTTCTCGTCCAGGCCCAGGTGCACTGCATCCAAGTCAGCCATTTCGCGCATCGACAGAGTTTGTTTACCTGTTTCGGATGTCGCAAATTAAGGGAATCCACAAAAGTCCCAGGATTCAATGGAGCACCCACGCACACATACACAAACCAAGAAAAATATAGAGAAAAAACGCCGATCGATCGGCCAGGTGAGAAATGGTCGGTAAAATCCGGTTAAATCAACACTCACTGGCTGCTCTTGGCATTACTTGCGTGGACACCGGTGTAGCGCCACTTATTATCCACTTTTCACCGCAATAAACGGGCTTTAGAACGCGAAATTACACCTATTTTACAAGGTTTTACAGACAAATTCTGCGTCACAGCGGCGATAAATTGGCGATGGCGTCAGAAGAGTACGACTATATGTTTGAAAAGCGGCGACTATCGCGGCAACTACCGCGACTATCGATAGGCGGATGCGGCTAAGTGAAGAAAATAGCTGAAAATAGCTAGATTTTGTAACAACTATTAACCGGTTCTTTTTATCCTTACTAATGGTTTTGATTTTGGTTTATTATTTGATAAATTCAATAACTCAATAAATAGTGTGTGGTTTTAATTAATAAAAAGCTTTTTATTATATGATATATTATTATTCCCGTCAAAAAAGTCTGATTTAGCTAGAAAACAGCAAAGAAAACTGAACCGCACAGCCGATTAAGTTATCGAAGCGAGGTAAACAAAATGCATCAACGGCAGTTGGATTTTCCGGCTTTTCCGCTTTCCCTGCTGGACGACAGCGATCTCGAGCTACAGAGATGCTATGTGCCAACTGGGGAGGATCCACCAGGTTCAGAATGGTCTCGCTGCAATCTTTCCGATGGCAACTACGCAGTATGTTTGGTTACTCCGCGTGCCGGCAGTGAAACTTGTTGCTTCTTGGATGGAGTAGTCACATCCTCTTCAAGATTTATACTCACCAATCAGCGATTGGTGCTCCTGGAGCCACTAAAACTGGTACCCTGCCCAGAGAGGATACCGTGCGTGGTAAGTGTAACCCAGGAACTGCTCCAGCGTCCTCAGGTTTCTCTGGAGGATCTGGAGGATGATGTGAGGGTGTTTCTGCGCCACCTGAAGCTAACCAAGGGGTGCTCCGTGCAACACAGACGACTGGCCCAGTTGGGCATCGCCAGTGTGGAGATATTTGATGCTCCTGGAGTTGCGGATGATGAATGCTTCGAAGTAGCCCGAGATGTTGAACTGCTCCTTTTGGACACCCGTCTGGAAATGCCCTATCCTTTGGTTTCCACCTCTAAGTTCCTGCTACACAGCTTTGAGCAGGCCATGGAGGATTTGGAGCAGCTGCTGGAATTTGCCAAAAGCGGTTACTCGCTGAGATTTCCCACCACATCGTTGGTTGTGGGACCTGTGGGCAGCGGAAAAAGTCGTCTCCTTGGAGAGTTCGTGCGCCGCCATAGCTGTAATTGTTTCTACATCACAGCCAGCCAGGTGCTGCGCTCCTACCCAGGAGAAACGGAAGAGGAACTAAGGAGGATCTTTCAATCTGCTGAAACTTTCAAGGAGCAGATGCGTCCTTTACGTAAATAACTTCTACATATATGTACATATATACATTTCTAACCTGTTTTACCAATTTCAGTGCCCATTGTGATACTCATTGAGGATCTGGAACTGCTCTGCCCCTCGACGAGTTCTGCTGACCCCAAAAACTCTGGAAATTCCCTGCGCATCTCCGCTCAGCTGTACAAACTGATAGATGCACTGCCTCAGGGAATTATTTGTGTGGCCACCTCGGGATCCCCAGACTCCCTGCATGAACATGCGCGCAGACGTTTTCTGCGGGAGATATCCATTGAGATGCCCAGCGAGGAGCAACGCAGACAGCTCGTGGAACAACTCTGTCAACAACATCAGCTGGAAATCACGGAGCATATACTCGATCACATGGCCAGACACACACAGGGCTATGTGATGGCGGATCTAACGCTCCTCCTGCGCCGCGTGCAGCAGGAACTGCTGACAAAAGAGGACTCCAATGTGGAGCAAGTCTTCCGCCAGTCGCTGCTCCGAACTCAGCCAAGTGCCTCGCGAGCCACAGATGTGCGGGTGTCCAAAATGTCGGCTGGTTTCGAGGTTATCGGAGGAATGGAATCCCTGAAACGCACCTTGCAGGTCTCCGTTTTAGCGGGCTTAAGGCAGAGTGCCGCCTTCGCGCGCTTTGGACTGACTCTGCCCAAGGGAGTGCTGCTCTATGGACCTCCGGGATGTGCCAAGACCACCATTGCCAAGTGCTTGGCCAAGGAGGCTAACATGACCTTCATTGCCACCTCTGCGGCGGAAGTTTACTCGCCCTATGTGGGCTGTGCCGAAAGATTTATTTCGAGAATATTTGATACGGCGCGAAAGAATGCGCCTTGTCTTATATTTCTGGATGAGATTGGTAGGAGTATAATTAATCCCTTAAGGCAAACATCACCATTAATCTCTCTATTTTATAGATTCCCTGGTTGGCAGAAGGACAGTTTCGAGTGGCGGAGGTGGTGGCCAAGTTCAGCTGAGGATTCTCTCCACGCTGCTCACCGAAATGGATGGCATTGTGGGTGGTGGCAATCAGCAGCACATACTGGTGGTGGCGGCCACCAATCGTCCCGATATGATTGACGACGCCTTGATGCGACCCGGTCGCTTCGACAAGCTCATCCATGTCCCAGCCCCAGATGTGGAATCTCGTTTGGCGCTGTTGCAACTACACGCCCAGAGGATGCCCTTTAATGGGAATGTGGATCTCGTGCAAATTGCTTCCCTCACTGAACGTTATTCAGGAGCGGATCTGTGTAATCTCTGCAATGAAGCTGCCATTGAGGCTTTCCAGCGCGATTTTGAGGCCACCGCAATTGAGAGGCAGGACTTTGAGAAGGTTTTGGCCAAGCAGAAATCCTCGCTCACGCAAAGTCAAATAGATGGCTACTATAAGTTTGCTTATAGGTTTTTGTAAGGAAAACTCTTTTTGGAAGCTAAAGGTAATCCTAGAGTTATTTTCAAAATTCCTTGACAATCAATTCTTCAATTCTGATTTTAAAATGGAATTTATTGCTAACTCTTCATTTTAAACTGGAATTTATTGTTAATTCTTTTTAAATTGAGATGCTTTTATTTATGCAATTTGAAGGAATTTGGTCCATGTACATATTGATTATCTAAGTTTTCTCTCAGTTAATCCACTGTAATCCACTGCTATCTTTGCAAATTTATACAGGTACTTCTTTAATTTATATTTGCAAATTTACCTAATTCACAATTTTGAGATGGACTTAAGACATAAAATATTATATGAATAATTTTTATAAAAATGTTAAAATGCAACTTAAGTAAATATTTTCTAAGCTTTGTTAATGCAATACAAGTTATCCAGAATCAATATAAATATTTTTGTAAAACGAATTTTTATGACCAATTTAAATGAATGTTTTAATCGATAAGTTCGCGGTATATATTCGATTGCAGTTATCGCTTATCAGCTGTTGCAGCGATAACTCACAGCGGTCTTAACAAAACAAAGGAAAAAAGGGGAAAAATTAACGCAATTAAGTTAAGCGTAGTTAAAAAACCTAGATAATCGTCAAAACACAGAAGTGAGTCACGGAAAAAGCTTTTTGGCCACATTACAATGGCAGATATCCCCAAAGATGCACAATTGCCGCCGAGCTACGAGGAAGTAATGAATACCACCTCCTCGCAAGGTAAGAAAATAAACATTGATAAATATGAAAGTACAACCCCGGATTTATTCCAGATTCCCGGTTGATTGTGGGCGTACATCATGGAGCACCCACTGCTCCGCCCCCGAACTTGCACATGCCCACTTATGGAGCTTTCGAGACGACGCCGGTTAGTGTGGTGATTCAGCCCCCTCCGGTGGCTATGCCCACGGAGATCATCGTGATTGGAGGATGTCCGGCCTGCCGGATTGGCTATCTGGAGGACACCTATTCCGCCTGCGGCCTGGTCTGCGCCATCTTCTTCTTCCCCCTGGGAATCCTCTGCTGCTTGGCCATGAAAGAGAAACGCTGCTCCAACTGCGGAACGGTCTTCTAGAGGAGATTACCCAAACAAATCACTTGAAAATACAAACCCCTTCGCCTTCGGGACAGGATTACCTAATAACCAACTGCGAAACGGTCTTCTAGAGGAGATTTTACACAAGTACACCTAAAAATAAAATTCCCTTGGCTTTTAGGAATTTGTGGAGGAGTCACCCCCAAAAATCACTCGAAAATACATACCCTTGGTTTTTGGAACGTTTTCTAGAGAAGACAGGGTTTTCTTGAAAAGATTCCCCAAAAAAATCAGCTAAAAATCAATATTCCCTATACTTTCAGTGCCGCCACCTGTGACTATTCCTTTATGGGGACTGTTTTTTTTATGATATCACAAGTTTTAATACTTTTGTTATTGTTAATCATTAGCTCACAAATCATTAAATATTATGTGTAAATATTAATCATGGCTGTTTGTGGTGTGCCCCCGATTTCCAGTCACTGTCCGGCGATTTCATATAAAGAGAACGGTCATGTACAGTGTAACTTGCCTAAATCGGACCCTAAAATTGTATCTTATAGACATTTAATAAAACAAAATCGTGATTAGGCATAAAAAAAGAGTGTGCAATAAGCATAAGATTTAAATCAGAAAAAAATGTATTTTATTAAAAGCAGAACAGCTATGTTCTTAGATTTTGCATGCCAAGGTTTTGATTAATTAAATTGTATTTTCAAAAGATAAATAAAAATTATATATATTATTAAAATTGTAAATAACTAAACTAAAAATTGGGTGGGAAGAATGAAAATGTACTATAACTTTTGTAAATATGTTTTGTAGTAAGATTTGAGTGTGCAAATTCCACTGATAAAAGTTCTTGTGATAGTGCTTTTACTGTACTTTTTATATGGTACACTGTAAGCGCGCTTCCGTTAAATTCAATTGAAATATAATGGAGGGCGGTTGTGAATTACGCCCGCGTCCGTATTTTCAATGTTCTTTGCACTTTGCCGCGTAAAACTGTAAACAAGTGGAGTGCTTCAAAAGTAGGGAGAAACGATCCGGAGATACCTTGTTAAAATATTTAAAACAAACGAAAATATTATACTGTCATATTAATAAATGCTTGAAATTATAGCTATAAACACATTTCTATTCAATGTGTAAATTTAAAACAAATTTAAATTTAAACGTAAAAGTGATATTTTTAAATATTATAAATATTTTAATATTTGCTTTTAATTATGTAAATTTTTATAAAGCTTATTAAATTAATTCCTTTTAAAACTAAAAAAATTGGAAAATTTGTTTTTCAATATGATATTTATATTAAAAACACCTTAAAGTTATCCTTCGGAAGTTTTATTCTAAATTGTTAAAAAACATTGTTTATATAAATAAATTAACTTGTTTTCCATGATGAAATTTATAAATTAATTTTCATTGAGCCTTCCTTAATATAATATTTTTTATATTGATAGTTATCTTAAATTCTTGTGAATTAAAATTGTTTTAAAATCTTAAAAAATGGTATAAAAATAGATAACCTTAAGAATATATACCCCTCTTTTAGATTTCATGGGCACAGGGTAGCACAACAATTTCGCCGGCATCCACATCCGCCGTGTCGGCATCTTCGAGTCAACAGTCGCGAAATTCCTTTGCCGTGGACATGACCAGTGCTCGTCTCCTGTTCTCGTTGCTGATTCCATCGATTCTGGCGGAGGCAGTTGCTCCTCCACGACGACCCAATGTGGTGATGGTGATCTTCGATGATCTGCGTCCAGTGATGGGCGTTTATGGAGATCCGCTGGCCAGCACTCCGTATCTGGATGCCTTTGCCCGGGGAAGTCATGTGTTTACAAGGACGTATAGTCAGGTGAGGATCGAGGGTTGGGTATTGTAATCCAGATTAACTGATAATCATCAATCTATACTTTATAAAAACGATAGGAATCTGAAATAATTAGTATTGCTTTTAATTTTAAAATTATTTCCAATTATACTAACACTACAATCTTACCTATAAAATTCATTGAATATATATTTTTATAGCATTCGAGTAAAAGAAAGAAAGAAAAAACATTCGCAGTATAATTGTTTTAGATCATGCTTTATTTTTTATTTTACATTAGTGTTATTTATTTACAATTTAAATTTAAATAAATTACTAAAAAGCCTTACAATAAATTGTAATATAATTTTTATTTGTACTATCCTATCACTACAATCGTATCTATAAAACACTCTCAGCAATCTCTGTGTGCACCCAGTCGAAATTCCCTGCTCACGGGTCGACGTCCGGATACCCTACATCTTTACGACTTCTACAGTTACTGGCGTACTTTTACCGGAAACTTTACCACTCTGCCGCAGTACTTCAAGGAGCATGGATATTACACGTACAGTTGTGGGAAAGTATTCCATCCTGGCCTCTCATCGAACAACACGGATGACTATCCGCTGAGTTGGTCAGCTCCGGCTTTTCGTCCTCGCACGGAGCAGTTTATGAATTCCCCGGTGTGTCCCGATAGGGAGGGCATTCTCCGGAAGAATCTCATTTGTCCGGTGGAGCTGCAAACGCAACCGTACAAGACATTGCCGGACATTGAGTCCGTGGCGGAGGCTTTGCGGTTTGTGGGGTCTCGGAAGACTAACAATCGTGAGCCCTTTTTCCTGGCCATGGGTTTCCATAAGCCACATATAAATTTCCGCTTTCCGCGGCAATTCCTCTCAAGATTTAAACTTTCCCAATTTTTCAATTACACGGAGGACAGTATGAAACCACCGGATATGCCGGCAGTGGCGTGGAATCCCTACACAGATGTTCGTGCCAGGGATGACTTCAAGCACTCGAATATATCCTTTCCCTATGGACCGATTTTCAGGCATCAGGCCGCCCAAATAAGACAGGGTTATTATGCCTCGGTGGCCTATGTGGATGATCTGTTTGGCAAGCTAATGGGAGGATTGGATTTGGATAATACGGTGGTGGTTGTCCTAGGAGACCATGGTTGGTCTTTGGGCGAACATGCCGAATGGGCCAAGTACAGCAACTTCGAGGTGGCCCTCAGGGTTCCACTGATCATCAGGAGTCCGCAGTTTCCACTCTCGCAAACGAAGTACCATCATGACATCACCGAACTTCTGGATGTCTTCCCCACTTTGGTGGATCTGGCCGGGCTGCCCAAGTTACCCAGCTGTCAGGACTCCCAGGAATTGACCTGCGGCGAGGGCAAAAGTCTATACCACCAGCTAATGGGTTTGGGCACAGGTATATATACTTTTAAAAATGTCTTTATAACTGATATATTATTATGTTCTAGTTGATGACCATGTGGCCCTCAGTCAGTATCCCCGCCCGGGAATGTTGCCCACAAAGCACCCGAACAGCGACAAGCCCAAGCTGCGAAATATCAAAATCATGGGTTATAGCCTCAGAACTGATATTTATAGGTATACCTTGTGGGTGAGATTCCATGCCCAAAACTTTAGCAGAGGTGAGTGTTGGTACAAAATAAAAACAGCTTTGCATTTATTTACTTTTAAGTATATTTTAAAGGTATTTTTCCAAATAAAGTAAATAAACTGATGCAAAACTAGTAAAAATTATGTAAGGAGCTATTGAATCTTAAATGTTATATATTTTTAAATTAAATATAAAATCATAATATTAGGTAAAATGCATATGACTTTGAATATATGTTATATTAATTTGCAGAAATATTATTGAAAATGGGTACTATTTCTGTTATAATATTATATTTTAGTTTAGTATGGTTGAAATTTGAATCAAATTTTAAAGTCTGTTTCAAAAATAGTAAAGTGATATATTTAAAAATATGTCAATTTTTGATAAACGACCCAATACAAAAAAAAAAAACGCAAATCAAAGCTTTTAGTTGTTTCTTAAACACAATAATAATAATTTAAAATGTTATAATTCTTAAGCAAAAAACCACAATTAGAAAAGTTTTTGTTGTTCAAATATTTTACAGTTGTTATTATATTTACAACAAAACCTTTGAAGGTCAGAGGCCTATTTTAAAAATGAACTTTAAACTCAATCTTTGTTAAATTTTAAATTTGACAAAATTTATTTACTTCTCACATTCTTTTTCTTTATTTATAAAAATTGTCAATTGTTTTTTTAGACTGGTACGATGTGTATGGCGAGGAGTTGTACGACCATCGATTGGATTCTGGAGAGGATCTGAACCTGGTGCCCCTGCCCGAGTTCGATGATGTGCGCCAACGACTGCGCCGGCGTCTGATGGAGCTCGTTGGCAGCTAGTGGAGATCGGAGATCGCAGATCGCAGATCAGGGATCCCTCCCTTCCGAATCCCTCTGATTTTAAATACATTCATAAGCAATAAAGGCAGCGCGACAAACGATCTCGAGACGGCGAAATATCTTGTCGCCATAATTGGAATTTAATACTTCCGGTTGGGCAACAACATTTTGCGAGACGCCCAGACATGCTGCATATTTTTCGCTGTAATTTCTGCGATGCCCCCTTCTTTTGGAGACCACCTCCCTGCTCCCCACATTTCCAGCTCACCAGATCTCCTCAATAACAAGAAAGGAAGCAAACTTTGACAATCCAAAATTTATATACCCTAGCTGCTATTAAACAAATTGAACATTCTACATTTCGATTTTTAAGCTAAGATTGTCCCTTACATTTTTTTCAAAGATTATTTTAACAGCTGATTTTATTAAAATTTAAACTTTTTTTCTGAAATAGTAAAATAACTATATGTCCAATTAGATTTGTATAAATTAAAAAAAAGCTTAGTTGTAATTTTTGTTATTTATTTTTCCGAAATTTTAATACCCTGAAATTACTGAAATTATAATGCCTTCTGCAAGGGTATAAAAATACAATCCGATCCGCGCATGCGTGACTGGTGTCCATTGCCTTTTTGGCTTCGTTTTTGTGAATTTTTGTGAATGAAATTTCATTCAACGTTGGCGGCAAGCGCGTCTCGCTGCGTTGGCGTCGGCAGCGACGTCGACTCCCAAATCTGGAGAGGATGGGGAGAGGAAGAGGAAGAGCAAGAGGAAGAGGAGGAGGAGGTGGCCAGCGGGAGAGGGGAGTGGGGTGTGGGGCGGGCAGCTCTACGTTGGCGACTCTTTTCGAGCTTTCATTTTCGCTTTGGCTCGGTTTGTTGCCAGGCGAGTGAAAATCAAAACACAGAAACAACATTTTTTTTAAATAATAAAGCTTTTGTTATCAAATTTATTTTCAAAAATTATCAACCCCTTTTGAATTAAATATTTAAGAGGATGCAACAAAATATATTATTTGACCAAAAAAAAATGTTTGAAAATTAAATAATTCTGAATTTGGTTATATAAATAAAAGAAGTTCCGTCACGGCTTACAATTTAAGATTATTAATTTCGAAAATAAACGATAGAAATTCCAAAGAAATTCAGAAATTGCTTAAATAAATAAAGGAGTAACGATAATCTAGAAATATTAGGATGACTTAATTAAAAGACATCTTTAAAATTTAAAGTTAACAATAATGTACCAATCAACATGGAAGTTAATAATTTTTTTGTGTTTTGAATATAAATTTCCAGATATCTAAAAGTTCAATATTCGACAACATTTTTCTCAGTGCACCTCCGAGTCTGGTAATTAAATTTGCAGCCCGCTGCTTGATCGATGTGATGCCCCTTCCTCTTTGGACCGACCCGCCCCCTTAACCCGCTGTCTTAACGTTAGCGTTAACCCACTCTTTCTCTACGTGCTCTCTAATGTGCATATTTGGTGTGGGCTGCGCTTTGGGTTCGCCATGTTGGCCGTCTCTCTGGAGGTGATTAAACTGCATTTTGGCAGCACTTTCAAACATTTCGAAAAATATGTGTCCCAAAGAAGGCGGGGCCATATTGCAGCTTTATGATTTTTGTCATATTTCTCGAGACTTTGTGGCTTTTACAATTCCATCCATTCACTAATTTTGGTTGTATGTCGTGAAATTGCTCGTTAACGTCGTGAAATTTGTTGCAAAAATCTAAAGTGTAAGGCTTTCGATTTGTTTTATAAAAAGACTTATTTTTAGATGGATATATTAATTCCATTGAAAATTCTTGTAGATAATTTGGTTTTGAGAGAATGGAGATTTAATAGTCAACTATTTATTTATGAATATGAGTGCAATATTGGTAATATTAATATTTCACTATAGTTTATTGTTGTACGTAGACAAAGATAATAATACATTTATTGATTAAATTAAACGCATTCATTTTGGTTGAATATTGTGTAATTTTATTGGAAAGAAACATTTTTGGAAAGAAACTTGTGTTTAATCGATTTTGCGAATGAAAAGTCATATAAGTGCATACATTTATTGACTAAATTATTGTAATATATTGGTTGTTTATAGTTATATTTGATTAGCTTTCTTAGATTATTATTAGTTATTTTCTTTAAAATGTTTTTTTTTATAACAGAACGGAGTTTTTATAGTCAGCTAGCTATACAGTTATGCAAATGGATGAGGGCAAAGTTGGTAATAGAACTATTTAAGGTGTGTTTTTTGCCCCCTCCCCCTCCCCTGGTAATATTATTTACCACATCCACCTACCATAACTTATTTTTACATTGCCATTTCCGTTGTGGGCTTTCCTCTCATTCATTTTCTTTACCGTTGCATTGTTGACAGCCTTTTTCTTTAATTCACGCTAGAGTTCCACAAATTTTCCCTCCCCTTTTCCACCCAATTTGACTATGCATAATGCAGACGTAAAGGGGCGGGAAATCGGGGGAATGGGCGGTGCCATATATATATGGCCATATAGCTTTTAGCTCGTGTGGGGCCTTTGGTTTGGAGTGTCTGTTTCGGTTTTGAGTTTTGCGGCTAACCACAAGCACATTCGAAAAGCGCGTGTGTTATAATAATCTATGGCACTTTAGAGGTTTAACCGATGGTCGCATAGATAGAGATACAGATACAGATACAAATGGAGAGATGGAAACACAGCTCCAGATACAGATACAGATACAGATACAGATAGGCTCTGGCTTAGATGGATAGCCAGATATCCAGATACTTTGGATACCGGCTGGAAGCTGTGGTAAATGTGGCAGACACTCGGGCGGGCTGGCTTTTGGCTCTAAACTGTATTATATATCTATGGCCATAAAGCCCACGATGGCTGATTTCGACTGGCGCATGCACAGAAAAAACGCAGATCATTTTAGAGACCTCCTTGATGGGGATCTAAATAAATCTGAAATTATAAAAGTTTATTTTAAGGCCTTCACAAATAAAAACAATTTGTTTTGCCACACAACTAAAACGACAAAGTTTAGCTTAGAATCGCAAACACCTTTTGTCAGATAAAAAAAAAACACTTGTTTAAACTAAATTTGTTTTTTTTTTGTTTTTTAATGTGATTATTTTTTGTAAACATATTTCAAAAATATATGTTTTTAATCTATGGTTATTTTCTTACGAGCTCATCGAGGTTTGGTTTTCCAAATTATTATTTATTGCTTAATCGTTTCAATTAACTTATTGTGATAAATACAGTTTATATATACTTTTTCAATAATTATAATACACATATTAGGCGCATTCATTATAAATAAAATAAATTACGTGAAAGATTTAACATAACGTTACAATCAACCTTTCAAACTATGTAATATTTTTTTACTGTGCAGTCACAAAACATAGCGAGTAATGCGAATACAACTTTAATTTGAATTTGTAGGCCGATTTGCCGTTTATTTCTAAGCAAACTCAAATGCGTGGGCGGCTCAAACGAAATTGCAAAAGATGCGTAGGCAGCGGCTGAGACGTCGGCAGCGACGGTCGACCGAGCGGCACAAATGCGACAACAACAACAACAACTAGAATTTGTGTATAAAGTATATATAGTTCATCAAGCGGACTGAAGTCGGCTTTTTACCTACGCATCTGACGATGCTCAAACAGCTCACATCTCACATCTCAAAGCGCTAAGTTCCATGTGTAAATCGGGTTCTATAGGCCCCCTACGTACTTATCCTACATCCAAAAAAATATTTTGCCCAAGAGAACAAAAATGTTTAATAGGAATATTTAAAAAAAATTTTTGTAAGCCAACTTTAAACAGTAAACATTTTTGTGGCTTAGTTTAAAAATGTTTCCACAAAAGTGTTTACAGAAACATAAAAAGATTTATATAGATCATAAATTTTGTTTAAGAATTTATTTTAATTTATAAAAATACAAATAACATATATTTTTTGGATCCCTTAAATTTTATTTATTTCTTAAAGCTATAGTTGCAACATGTATCTAAAATACGTACTAAAAACAAATAAAATAAAAATTTTAAAATTCAGAGAACCAATTCATTTTAATCAATAAAAAACCTGGCCCTTAAATATCTGTTTTTCAAAGTGTTGTAAAATAACATTTGAAACCAACTTTGAGGTTTAATCTTAAAATCCCGTAACCATCTTAAAGTCAAAGAGCTTTTTCTTTTAAAAATTAAAAAACATTATTTTTTCAAGTGTAGTTGTACTCATAGACATACTATAGTTGTTGCTGCCGGCCTCCCGCTGTAAAAAATGCTAATTTTCGTTGACATGCCATAGTTTGGCTAATGACGAAGGTTGTTTGTTAGCTTTGTCAGTTGACTTGACGCCGTTGCCAAAAAAAAAAAAAAAAAAAAAAAATGGTAAAGAAAAAAAATATAGAAGAAGAAACTTAAAACTGGTTACCAAGTGTGCGGTAGAGTAAAACGGAGGAGTGTTTTTATTGGGAAGGGGGCTCAAAATTTCTTTTGACGGAATTTCCATGAATTAATGCCACTGCCGGATTATGCCGCTCCTCAGGTGTCCGGCACTTGTGTGCCTTATATATGGCCTTAAGCCGATATAAAATCGGAGGCCTAAGCAGATCTCAAGCTGTGTGCAAGCAGGAAATAAATTTACCCAACTAAATGATTTTAAGCTGATTGAGGATCATCGTCTCGGCGAAGTCGAAAATCCAATTCAGTAGCTTTGGCCGAGAAGTTGATCTTTTCGAGCTGATAACCAAGATCCAAATGGCAATTCATTCATTAATCCAATATTAATTTGATTATTCGGGCTTGTAATTATTCATGAGGCTAACAAACCTATAATAAATGTATAAAATGAATAACTTAAGAGCTGCTAATAAAGCAGATGGCTACTGCCAGATTTTATGTAGTGATCATTTAGTATTTTGGCTTGCAAATGCTGGGGGAATTGGAAGAAAAGCAATGTCGTTTTAACTAGGCAGAAAAAGATAACAAAAGAGCAGGTATCAGCATTTTTTTGCTGGTTGAGAACATATTATTAAAAATTGTAATATAATAAATATTGGAAAATATTAAAACTCTTAAGACTAGGTAAAATCAATTCAATATATTTTAAAAGGGTTATATCTATAGG